TGCATTAGGCAAATCTGCTTCACAAGACCTTTTAAAAGTGTTGAAGAGCAAAGATGTCAGCTTGAAGACTAAGGTATGCCTGACCCATCCATGGTATTTTCAATAAGCTCATATGCATGCGAAAGTTGGACAGTGAATAAGGAAGACCATAGAATAATTGATGCCTTTGAGTTATGATGTTGGAGGAGAATATTGAAAGTGCCATGCACTACCAAAAGAATCAGTAGATCCATTTTGGAAGAAGTGCAGCCAGAGTGCTCCTTTGAGGCCAAGATGGGATGGCCAAAGTTCATCTCTCATACTTTGGACATATTGTCAGGAGGGACCCGCCGCTGGAGAAGAATATCGTGTTTGGTAAGGTGGAGGAAGATTAGGCTTTCTACTCCCGTAAAGATTTACTGCCTCGGAAACCCTGTACAGGGTCGCTATGAGTCGGAACCGACTCCACAGCACACAACAACAACAAAGATGGAGGGTCAGTGAAAAAGAGGAAGACCCCCCAATGAGATGGATTGGCCAGGTGACAGCATCGATGGACTCAAACATGGCAACAGTAGTGAGGTTGGCCCAGGATCGGCCAGTGTTTCGTTCTGCTGTGCATAAGGACGCTATGGGTTGGTACCTACTCGATGGCACGACAACAACAACCTAGTTATGTAGTACTGCTGCAACAGAAGTATCACAAGTGTTTGCTTTTACAAACAGAAATCACTGCTGGCTTTGGATGAAGGTCCTTGTGTCTTTTGAGCTTTTGCTACTGGCAGCTCTTTATGTGGCTTGGCATTTCTCTTCTCCCATCTCTGTTTTTTCTCCTTGCTTATTTATTCTTTCTTATCTCACAAGAGATAGACTTAAAGCACATCTTACATTAAACTTTTTTTCATTAATATAGCAAAAAGATAAGCCATTCCTGAAAGGGATTGTAACTATAGGTATTGTTTTATAGGGCTTCCAAGGAGCAGCTTCTGGGATTCAACTGCCAACCTTGTGGTTCACAGCCCAGTGCTTATCCTGGCACCACACCAGGAGTCCAACTGTAGGCATAGAGATTAGAACTGAAAGTACATTTAGTTTGTGACACAATCAATTCATACCAATAGCTATTTATTGATATGTGTAAAGTAGCATGTACTATTATTTCTTATATAATGTTCTAGATAAATAATTTAGTATTTACATTAACATTCTAATGAGTTACTTTATCCTTAATTAAATTATATAATGCAATATATGAAAACCAGATGTACTTATTGTCAATAGTGCAGTTATTTCACTTTAGTTAAATATTCATAAAAGGATATTCATGAACTCCATGAGGGCAAGAACTTTGTTTAAAACTGTCTCTTTAGTGAGAAGAACAATTTTGACACTTAATAAAAATGTAATGAACAGTAGTTGGATGAATGAATGAAGTGTCCTTTAACTTTCACATCAGTGTTGGGAGACAATTCACCATTGTCTGTCATATTTCTACATGACTTGGGAACAAGGCACTAACTGTCATATATTCTAGACCACCTTAAAAAGATAATATTTTATAATATTCTAGAAAAATAGGTATAATGCCTCCATCTAAAGTCAAAAGCAGTCATGCTTGAATGCATAAAGTTTACATCTGTCTCGAGAACAAAGGGCACATGCTCCTATGTTTAATGCACATTATAAAATAGATTCCTCTCCTCTAGCACAACTCATTAAGTTTCCAAGTTTCAAGTGACCTTCATATCTCCTGTAGAAACTGGGAGTTGGAGCACCAGTGGAAATTTTCAATATTGTTATTATTGTAATAAACAGCCAAGGAACAATTGTTAAGTTTTCTATCAATATGAATACATTTGTGTCAGGCTAACTTTTCAACTTGAAAGTAGAGCAAAATCCTAGACTTTTCAGAGTTCTTGACAATCAGACATTGAATTTTGTCATTTGTTGGAAAAGAAAAACTCATCAGCATAGCTCCAAAGATAAAGACTTTAATTCAGTCACATGGTATATATGTATATAGTAACTCTTTTACATTGAAAAAAGTCCAATTAAGATGAAGGGGATTTACTGAAAAATAGTGCAATGTTGTTGTTAAGTGCTGTTAAGTCAGTTCCAACTCACAGCGACCCTGTATAAGGTTTCCAAGGAGCAGCTGATGCTTTTGAACTGCTAACCTTACAGTTCAAACCAACTTTCTAGTCCAGTGTATTATCCTGCATTGCCACACTAGGGAAATATTGTATAAATGTTGTTTATACCCTGTAACGGATGACTAATGGGTAATTATATTTGTTTTAATTGCTTGTATTTGGTAATTTCAGTTAAGAATATTAGTGAAGGTGTCAAATTTACTAAACTGGATGCTTTAGGAAAATGTATTCTTATGAAAATTTTGGGGAAGCCAAAACAGAGGAAAATAACTTGAAATGCAAATTGCTAATATTACATTGTTTAATAAGTTTGTCACAAAGCACTTCAAACTACAGTGTATAAATACTTTTCAAAAGCAGAGACTATATGCATCAATTCTTATTATTTTCAAACTTTGCAAGTTCACATGATAATTCAGATGCTCCTGACACAAGCAATGTTATTTTCAGTTGTCTCATATAAATGTAAAAGCTGAACAATGAATAAGTAACAACGCTTTGAATTATGATGTTGGTGAAGAAGAATATAGAATATGCAATGGACTGCCAAAAGAACAAACCAATCTGTTTTTGAAGTACAGTCAGAATATTCATTGCAAACAAGGATGGTGTAAATTCGTCTTGTGTTCTTTGGACATGTTTTGAGGAGGGGATAGTCATTGTAGTAGGACATCATGTGAAGTAAAGTAGAGGATGAAGGAGAAAGAGGAAAATCATCAACTAGATGGGTTAATACAATGAGCTCAAACAATGTGCTCAAACATAGGAATAATTATGAGGATGGCATAGAACTAGGCAATGTTTTGTTCTGATGTACATAGTCACTGTGATTCAGAGCTAACTTGATAGCACCTAAAAACAACATAATAGCAAGTGTTTTAGGAAAATACTTTTATTTGTGTTTTGGCTCTAATTTTTTTTTTTTTTTACTTTAATGGAAAAACTTAATTATTAGTATATAGTTTATTTCTCATTGCAATTGTTTCTTCACAAGTGCCGATACTAAATCGCATCTGTATTTGTACTGTTTTAAGTATCTCACTAAGAAATAAACCCATTCAATGATCATTTCTCTAATGTTTTAGGTGTAACAGTACTTGAAGGCCCTATTTATGCTGTGGGAGGCCATGATGGTTGGAGCTATCTAAATACAGTGGAGAGGTGGGATCCTCAGAGTCAACAGTGGACATTTGTAGCCAGTATGTCAATTGCTCGAAGTACAGTTGGTGTAGCAGCATTAAATGGCAAGTGAGTAGATTTTTCTTCTTTATTATCTGAACAATACATTTAATGAATGGATATCTTCTAATAATAAATTTTTACTAAGATGATTCAATAAAATGCTTTTTAAGTGATTTAAGTTTTTGATGTTTTTCCAATTCAGCCTTAAAGGATAATTGACAAATTGGGACTTGAAATATTTTGGGTTTTATTTTCATCCTTCTAAAATAGTAACCAAAACTTCTTCACATTAATTACCTATTAAGAAAGGATCAAAATATTTCACAAGAATTTTGTACACTGAAAATCTGCTTATGTCCTGACTAGCTAGTGTGAGTTACTTTCAAAAGAGGACTGAAAATTTGGTGTTCATTATATATTTTCTTGCAGGAGTACACTAATCCCTAATTTTCAACATTTTCATTCATATCACCATAAATCAGGAATCTAAATCTCAGACTACTGATATTTTGGGCTGTATAATCATTTGTTGGAAGGGCACATACTATTATTGTTAAGTGCTGTTGAATAGGTTCTGACCCATAGCAACCCTGTATATGGTTTCTAAGGAGCAGCTGGTGAGCTTGAACTGCTGACCTTGTAGTTTGAATGGCTTTGCAGTCTGGCGTATTAATGTTACACCAGGACTCTGGCACAGTGCTATACTGGGCATGAATGATGGTGTTATGGGTAATCATGCAGGCTGAATGAGTGTGGAAGGATAGTAGGAGTACATCTAGAAATATACAGAGGTTTGACAGATGATATTTGTACATGGGTATTAACTTTTATGCAAATATATCAATAATATGGTGACGCATATAGGAGACAAAGTTATGAAAACTACATAGACATAACCAGACATTCCCTTAAGGTAAGGGAATGAATCACTGGGCCTGGAGGATCAAGACCCTGTTCTCAGAGGACACCAAGGTCAATTAACATAACAGAATCCAGGCAGACAATGTGCTACATCCTACTTTTGTAAATAGCAACTGTGGTCTTAACTGCTCTTGTTGTTGGTATTAAGTGCCTTGGAGTCAGAGCCTACTCATAGGGGCACTTAGAGTTTCTGAGGAGTGGCTGGTGAATGTGAACTGCTGACTTTGAGGTTCAAACTATTAGAAAATGAATCCCAATGTTGCGTAAAATACACTCTGAGTGACTAAATTACCTTGTCAAAGCAAAATTTACTCCTGCAAGAAGGTGCATGCGCATAGCCGTATATACAGGAACAGGACAGCCAGCACACCGAGTGTGCAGCCCACTAGGGTTTTTAATCTCTGACTTGAGTCTCAAGGCTGTGTCTCACCCCATTGGCTAGGGTTTGACCGCATGATCTTTTCCCTTACCTGGTTGGCTAGGTCAGATTTTAAGGTGTGCATTCCTACTTTAGGAAAGAAAAAGAGAGCAATCACAAATTTTTTATTCCAGGAAGTAGTCAAAGCAAAAGAGAGCGATCATAAAGTCTTTAATTCAGGAAATAAAGGAAAAAAGAGAAAGGTTACCTGAATAAAATAAACAGGATTATGATATATATATATTTCCTCCTCCCACAATCCCTCCCCCTTTTTTTTCTTCTTAGACTTCCTTCTTTTCTTCAAATTTTGCAAGAAGATGTTGACTTTGGTGTTCATATGTTTCTAGGTGAAAAAGGTTATTTTGGTATGGGGTGGCAGTTGTTTGGATAGGGCTGTTTCTATGAATTTTAGAACTAATTCTCTTATACAGGGTGCAACACAGCATCCCATTAGTGTTAATATGCCAAATACAATAATTAGAGAGGTGAGGACTGAAATCATAGCCCTTTCCATTTCCCGAATCATTGTTCCATGATATTAGAAAAAGGGTCATCTATGCCTAAATTTTCAGCAAGTTCATTAGCTACGGTGGTCAGCCCTTACAATGCTTCGGTAATCAGGAGCTGCATTATTGGGAATGAAAGTACAACATTGGATTTTGATCATAACACTTATTTCTTTTTCTGCTAATATTATATCTAGTGCTAACTTGTTTTCCCAGGCCATTTTGCTAGTAGGTCCTAATTGTTCTACTGTTCCTTTTATAGCACCCCTGGTATAATTTACAAATCTTTGTTGATTATAATAGATGTAGTTAATCCAGTCCACGTTTTTTGTTAGTGGTTGACCAACAGAATAATACAGATGCAAACCCTGCAGCTATTTGGTTTCTTGTTTTGAATTTGTTTGGCACCCCTCAGGGAACTCCTATACTGTCTATGTAAACATGGGAATTGAGAGAGCCATGGGGAGTAACTACACTTCTCTTGGCTTTATGCCTGTTTCCTGGAGTTGTTGGTTGATGGAATGCCAGGGTGAAAGGGATGGTCAATTCCACCAAAGCGTAGGTGCCACTCCAATTTGCCCGTAAAGCCTGAATAATAGTTTCCCATAATATCACCAGACAGCTGCTCGTGGAATAGCTAGGGCTGACTGATTTTGGAGCTCTTTAAAGAGTTTGCACTCGTTGTATCCCATCAGGCTTCTAATGAACATCAAATCCCCCCCTTTTCTGGGGAGACACGAAGTGAAATTGGTATTTGAGGCTGGAGGCCTAATGGTCCTCCGGGTCTGACCCATAAGACCCCTTACATTAGGGAAAGTTGTGACAACCAGATACAGGATTCATTGCCTCGGGCTATAGGGTCTTGGAAGAGAGCTACCGTACAGTATATGCCCTCAGAGTCTGAGGACCATGCCAGTGGAAAGGGGACCACTTGGGCTTCCGGTCTTCCTGTTGCACAGGGGTAACAATCGCAATTATTTAGAGTGTGAACAGAATATTTAATCCATTCCAACCAAGCATTTGCATCCCTATATCCTGCTATATCCTGTTTCTACAGCTATAGTTTGTCTTAGGTCTTTAACTTATGTAATTGTCACTTTGGAAGGGTCATGTCCTGAATTTATGGGGGGGGGGGGAGAGGGGGGAGGCTACCAGATCTGAAACATTTCTAGGATTCTGTGTTTGAGTTCTATCCTTGGTAGTGGTAGGGCTTGAGTTTTGTCTTAGTAGTTTCAGAGAGAAGACCCCTATAGGATCCTTTCCTGTAACATCTGCTCTGGATCCATAGTCTCCTATTACTGAAGGTTCTCTGGTCATGGTTTTGGGATTATAATTAATATAATGGATTGATTTCATTTTAAGGGTTTGCAATGGGAGGCTAGTTACTTAGTCTCTTATTTTAAATATTTTAGTTTTGGAAAGTACTCTCAGCATCTATACTAGAATAAATTTTAAAGAGTCAAATAGGAGGAAGGCGTTGACACTTTAGCTAATATTTATGATGAAATTGTCTCACATTCAAGAAAAAATACTTTTTACATTAGTAGACAGTTTTACAGCAGATAAATTTCAGAAACGAATGCTTCTCAATTCACACTATAATGCTATTTTGCTAAAATGAGCTTTATATCAGAATGCAAATTGTTGTGCAATAGTTTTTCACAACACAAAGGCCAATAGAGATGCAAATGTTTAATTAGAATCCTATCAAATGGAATACAGCAAAATGCTAAAGAGCAATGTAATATGAACAAGTAGGCTTTATTTTAAATACAAAAGGAATTAGAGTTAGTACATTTAATTAAGTAAATTACTACATAAATAGTTAAAATAAGAAAAAAATATTTCAGGTGTCACAACTCACAAGTGAGTTATTTATAATTATTTATTTCAAAATGTGGACTATTGTATAGCCATTAAACATTTCATTTCTATGAATATTTAGTGACATGGAAGAGTGTTCATTTAATGGATGAGAAGGAGCACTCCAAAAATTAAGTTCAGACACCATCGTGAGATGCGGGCTATGCTAGAGTATGAGGACAACCAGCTCTGAAGTAGCTACAGTATCAAGAAATTCAGTCTGTCATTTATGTCTTTTATGTGAGTCTTCACTCTACTCTGAGAAAATTACTTGGTAATCAGCAGGAAAAAAAGGGTTCAAAGCCTTCTCCAAACAGATATTTGCTTATTAACAACAACAATACCACTATTTTTCCTAATATTTTAATATTAATATCAATCATTTATTAATAATTTTCTTACCTTTCCTTCTGATGCAAAAGAATTCATATCCTGCTTTCTAGGGAGAATGGCTATCTCAATTGAATGACCTACACAGCAAATTTGATTTATATGGATAAGAATAACTCTTAGTTTTTTATTATGTTGTTTACTTGCTATATTATACTGTTATGAGATACACAGACACATACACTATATGATATATCAATATATATTATTATTTAAAAACCATATGATAAAAGAGAAGAGTTCCAGAATAAAATTACTACCTGTCAGTGTATTTTTGTGAGCTTGGTGAAGCTATTTTTCTGCAGCATATATATACTGATAAATTTTTTGTCCTTACCTTTTATCTTTTCCCTTCTTCTTAATGATTACAAAATAAACCTTAGTCAAAACATATTTTGCTGTAAATGTTCTGCAGCCTTAATTTGAAGTAAATGGGATAAAGTTTAATAAATAAAGTAATTGCTTGACTGTCTTGTTGCAAAGGGTGAGACATTGTTATAACTGGATTATTCATCCAGTGTCTTCTAATACTTCCTTTTAATTAACCATATACACAATTAATAAACCAGGCAAGCTAGACCTTGTATTCTTTGTCAGCTAAAATATATAATATCAAGAAATCCTGCTTTTTATTGTTTTAACAGAAAAAAAGATTCTGTTTTACTATAACATTACTCTTCATGTGAACTTAATAGCATCTCAGATTTTTAATTCTAGAAATTGTTTTCATTTAAGTATTAAATTAAAAAAAATATTTCCCAATATTTTATGTCTCTCAAATTATAATGCTATTTCAGGAAGGTGCTTTGAAGCTTTCATTTTGCTTCAAATATCTTTCTCGTTAAGTCAAAAGATTCTAGCTCTCTTTGGGTCATCTTTAATTTTTTCCTGAGTCTGATTCAAAAGATCTCAAAAGTTTATGACTTTTAGCATATAGCTACTTTTCTATTTTTCTCAGAGGGAAACAT